CATGAACAAAGGTGTGGAGGTGGCATTTGAAAGAGAATTTGAGGGATGGCAGGATATACCAGGCAGCAAGAGCCATCAGTGTTGGGTGCTGGAGAGACCACTTCATCATGGCTTTGACAGAAGGGGACACTGACTGAAACCCTTTAAAGATTACAAAACGAAACTTGAGAGACACGAAAAAGAATAACAGTAGCTCCTGTTCGTTGAGGATCTCCTATGTGCCAGGCACTGTGCTTGGGGCTTTATGTACCTTTTGTGTTTCAGTTCTGCAGCAATCCAAGAGGTTGGCATCATCCCCACTTTATACATGAAGAGACCAAGGCCCAGGGAGAAGGAAAGGCTGGCTCAAAGCCACATAACTGGGACCATCCCAGCACGAGAGCGGGGTGGGCTCTCATGACCTCCAGCAGGCTCTCCTGCCAGGTGCCAAGGTGGGGGTGGAGTTGGCTGGGTTACAGGGTATTTCACCCGGGTTATGCAACTAGGTTGGTGTGGGTTCTAAGCTGTTCCTCCCCTGGAGAAGCAGGGTTGCTATTTTTTGCTGGGGCGTATTGAGGGTGGGAGGGTGAGTAGGGGAAGGCATTTCCTGAGGGAGGAGCGGAATCTGGAAGAGTGTGACCCTGCACACTCCTCCCCCAGCCCCCTCTCCTGGGCAGAGGCTCACCTGGACAGGTCACTCTGCCTCTGGCCCTGGCTTGTGGTGGGGGCTTGTATCTGGCTCTCCTGAACTGTGCATGTGTTCCTGCTACTTGTAGACTCTCCTCTTTTGACTTAGCCTTGGGTGCCCTGTCTTGTCTCTCAAATTCCCTTACCGTGGGAAGAGGCTGGATTACCAGGATATTCCCCTGCTCCTACTCCAATCTTTTAATAGTGAGCCCAAGAAGAAGCCAGTTTCTGAACATCTTTCATGTAACAGTGCTCTGGGCTCCTGGGCATTAGTTTAGTCCTCCCTGCATTCCTTTAAAGGATGGGCATTATTATTCCCATTCTACAGGTGAAGAAACCAAGGCTCAGACAGGTTAAGTGATTTCCCTGAGGTTACATTCTTAGTAGGAAGTGCAGGTGGGATTTAAACCCAGCCTCTCCTGATGGCAAAAGTCACACCCTTCCCATGTCACCGCCCTCTGAGGTTTTCTGCTCTTACCCCAGCACCGGTGCAGGGAGCCAGCTGGTGGAGGCTGGGGACTTGTCTGCAGGGCTCACCTTCTCCAGCAACAAGGAGAGGTCACTGGACATCTGGGTGGGGGCCTGGGACACTTCACTCCCTTTGGACAAAGGCTTTGGAGGTGAGGTGGTGGCAGGGGTGGGGGGTCTGAAAGGCCCTGGGGAATCTGAGAAAGTGAGCTGGGTTAAGGATAGCAACAGAGGTATATGTTGTGCTTTACAGCCCCAAAGCACCTTTAGATTAATACTCACCCCATCTGTGTGTGGTTTGGAGGGTCTGAGAGGCTCAACGGCAGTAATCTCTGAAGTTTGAGTGTCCACTACACTTAGGTGCTAAGTGCTTGAGAGTATTTTCCCCTTGACTGCTAACAATAGTCTTAGGAAGGTTGGTGCCATATCGCAGATCAAGAAACAAACATAGAGAGGTTAAGCAAATTCTTCCAGTTCACACAGGTAGGAAATGGTACAGGCAGGACTTAGAAGGCCCCCAGTTGTGTTTTCTTTCCACTATGTTCCTTGGAAAGTGCCAGGGAAACTTTTAGGGTGATGGATATGTTCATGATCTTCACCGTGGTGATGGTTTCCCAGGTGCATGTATATGTTAAAACTGATCAGACAGTACACTTTGAATATATGCAGATCATTGTGTGTCTGCTATACCTCAATAAAGCTATGGGGGACAAAAAATATTTCCCACCAAATGTTCCTTCAGGGGCTCAAGGGCTCCAGGAAGAGGCTAGCTGTCCATCCTCCTGCTTTGGGGCAAGGTAGGATCACTGTAGCCTGGGAGAGATTCTCACAGACTTAGCGGCTGGTTTCAGGTTTTCTAGCTGCTTCTCCTTCCCTCATTCCCTAGCACTAGGCATAGACTGGCACCAGGTTGGATCTCTTGAGTGAATTGTTCTCATTTTCCAATGAGCCTGAGAGATCCCACTGAGATTCCCTCCTTTTCCCCCCTCTCGGGGCCTGTTTTTCTACCAGAGAGTGGCCGTGTCCAGCCCACCCTCCCCGAGGGAGATGGAGGGCAAAGATGCAGGTTCTGCCCTGAGAAACCCCACAGTCAGGTTGTTGTGGGGGCAGGCAGGAGAGCCTGTGGTACGGTGGCAGGAGGCATCAGTGAGGGGCTGGAGAGAGTCTGGACACAGTGCTGGCTCCTGAAGGATGGGGAGATGGGAGGCCATTTCTGGCAGGGGCACTACCAAGGACAAAGTCCTGGCCAGAGGAGAGGTTGGCTTGACCTAGGGGAGGCTGGGCTGGACAGAGGCCCTGGAGGGTTGGGCACAGAGCAGGAGCTATAGTGGGTCATGGGGCAAGGACATGTCCTGGGGGTCAACTGCTGTTGGACTTGGGCTGAAGTTGGCTCTCCAGGGCCTGACCATGATAGGAAGCAGAAGTTTCAGCTGTGTGTGTCTGTGTGTGCATGCATGCACGCACCAACATGTAGATCACACCCATGGGCAGGCTTGGGTCACAAGGACTCACAGAGGAACAGCCCCTGAGGATATGTGTAAGTTTCCTAGGGCTGCCGGAACAGATTACTGCAAACTGGGTGGCTTGAAACAACGCACTTTATTCACTCACAGTCTGAAACAACTCCAAATGGTCCCGCTCCCTCCAGAGGCTCTAGGGAAGAATCCTTCCTTGCTTCCACCTAGCTTATTGTTGGTTGCCTGCAGTCCTTGGCATTTCTTGGCTTGTAGCTGCATCATTCCAATTTCTGCTTTTGTCCTCACATGGCCACCTTCCTTCTGTGTGTGTCTGTCTCTGCGTATAAATTTCCCTCTCCCTGTAAGGGCCCACCCAAATTCACTTTGATCTCATCTTAACGTGGTTACATCTGCCCAGATCCTGTTTCCAAATAAGGTCACACTTACTGGGGGATAGGGCTTGAGCATATTTTTTTTCTGGGGATACGATTCAACGCACAACAGGGAATTTGAGAGAAGGAAATCCTCATAGCTTCCCTCTGGGGGTCAGGCAAGCACACACAGGGTTATTTTTCTGAAAAGAAAACGGCATCTTTGAATCTAAAAAGAGAGACAGGCAGGCTTAATGCCTCACTGCCTAAACTGTGGTCATGGCCCCGTGGTCACCACCTGGGCGCCCTTTTGAGAGCGCTGAATCCTAACTACTAGACCACCAGGGAAGGGCGCCCTTTCGAAATGCAGAATCTGGTTCCTCCCAGACCTCCTGAGTCAAAATCTGCATTCTGATGATGTGCCCACGTAACTTGAAAGCACATTCCAGTTTGAGAAGGCCTGCCCTAAAAAAGATCTGATTTTTATTTCCTTCCCTCTCATAGTCGGTCTGTCCTTCCAGCCTCTGTGTATAAGTTAGCCTGGTTGGGAGCTAGGCACCCACACTGTGCTTTGTGCTCTCTTTTCACGTAACATGTTCTTGAGTTTCTCTTCTGTGCGTTGAGGTGGGCCACAGGCTTGCCTTTTCTGGAGAGCATCGGCCTTGCTGAGACTGCCCCTTTGTTTCGTTCTTGGGCCGTGTCCGACTTTTTGCTGTTTATTACTGTTGCTGCCATGAATGTCTCTGTACATGTTCCTTTGGGGTTCGTTTCTTGAGGTGGAATTTCCAGAATCAAAGTGCATGAGTGGTTGTGGACTCTATCACTCTTCTCTACCTATGGAACCTGACATCATAGCAACTTTCTTTGCTCTACCCAACAGTGCGTAGGAGCCTGGTTTAGAAGGTCAAGTGGCAGAAAAGGCTTTAGAACCAGACAGGCCAGGGATCAAATCTCCTACTTTTTTGCTGTATAACATTGGGCAAATTACTTAACATCTTTGAGCTTGGGATTGCTCTCTTTTCACAAGGTAGTAGTGCTATAAATTTTGTAGGGATTTTATAAAGATAATCATGACACCACCACCATCCATTTATTGAGCACTTTCCGTGAGTTACCTCACTTGATCCTTACATTCCTCTGCAGAGTAGGCATGATCATCCCTTTTTCCCATTTACAGAACAGGAAACTGAGGCTTGGGTTAAGTAGCTTGCTGAGGTTATAGGGGCATTGTATGCCCACGCCCACAGTTGGCATGTCCAGATGGTTAAGGTTTTTATGATAAGATAGTGTGGATGAAAGAAGATACTGAACACACTGCTCTAGCACATGACCTGGCTTAGCACTTGTTGGATGCCTGCCTTCTTTTCCCATGCCTTTATCAGTTTTCTTGGGTTATTCTCAGATAGTGGTATCCAGCCCAGCACTGTTTCAGTTGTATGTCATGGATGATTCCCTAGCTTCGTTTTGTGTACAAACTTTGTCCCAGTGGAAATGAGTTTTGTTTTTTTTTTTTAAGATTTATTTATTTGAGAGAGAGTGCATGAACACGGGGTGGAGGGGAGGGGAGAGGGGGAAGCAGACTTCCTACTGAGCAGGGGGCCTGACGTGGGTCTCAATCCCAGGACCCTGAGATCATGACCTGAGCCAAAGGCAGATGCTCAACCGACTGAGCCACCCAGGTGCCCCCAGAAATGAGTTTTTATTTTTATTTTTTAATATTTTATTTATTTGACACAGAGAGAGGCACAGCGAGAGCAGGAACACAAGCAGGGGAAGTGCGAGAGGGAGAAGCAGGCTTCCCGCTGAGCAAGGAGCCTGATGCGGGGCTCGATCACAGGACCCTGGGATCATGACCTGAGCCGAAGGCAGTCGCTGAACGACTGAGCCACCCAGGCGCCCCAGAAATCAGTTTTTAAATGATTCAGAGGTCTGGGGTTAGGAGCAGAGCTGGCTCTGATCCCTGCAGCTAACTGGCTACTTCTTCCCTAGGGACCAGGATGGCCAGACTGCTCTTGGATGTGAGCGCTCCTCAGTGCTCCTGGGGCTGACGCCGAGCTGGCAGCCATGGGGCTGGGCAGGCTCCAGGCCTGGATGCTGGGCCTTCCTACGGCTGTGGTCTATGGCTCCCTGGCTCTCTTCATCTCTATCCTGCATAATGTGTTCCTACTTTACTATGTGGACACCTTTGTCTCAGTGTACAGGATCAACAAAGCTGCCTTCTGGGTTGGAGAGGTAGGCCAGCACTGCGGGGGAGCTGGGCAGGTTGCACGGGTGGGTCCCACCTAGTCCGGAGCAGGGGCAGGCCAGGTTGCCCACCGTGATTCGGCAAGAAAAGCTGGAGCTGGAGGTGTTGATGACTCCTCCTGGCCACTGTCTGATGAGCCTGGCATGGTTCTAGATATTCATATATATGATAAAATATATTCACGTACATTATCAGCTGGATAAATTTGTCCTGGATGGGTGGGAGTTTGATGGGGCAGTGGCTGGTGGAGTGTTTTAGCAGAGGGACTGCCCTGAGCAAAGGTTTGTAGTCAGGAAAGCTGGGCTTATCTTTGAGGGGTGGCGAACAGGCTGGGTAGGGAAAACTCTGGAGAGGAGGCTGCCTGGAGCCCACCTGCCCCATTTCCCTCTGCCCACAGACGGTGTTTCTCCTCTGGAACAGCCTCAACGACCCCCTCTTCGGCTGGCTGAGTGACCGTCAGTTCCTCAGCTCCCAGCCCCGGTTTGTGTCCTGGGGATGGCTCACAACGGGTCCCGTCCCACCCCACCCCTCCCCAGGGGTGCCTGTGTTTGGGGTGGGGAGAGAAAGGGAGACCATTTCAGCTTTTGGCCAGGCTCCCTCCCTTCCCAAGGTCAGGCAGGTGGGAGAAGTGGCCTTGATTAACTGTTGCCTTGCTCACCTGGGGAGAGATTCACCCCAACTTGGTTTGTCAGGTCCTCAGAACTGGGAGCTGTACAGCAGACCCTCTCTGCTGCTTCTGGCAGATTCCTTGACCCCATCCCTGCTTGGGCCCAACACTGCCCCCAACCCTGAGAAATAGGTATCCCACCACCCTTTGCCCATCAGCCCTGGCAGGCTGGCAAGGGAGCAGATGAGAGAGTATACCCCCTGGTGAGTTGTGCTTCCTAAGTCAAAGGCTGAGGACGCGGGGCTCACTCTGCTGTGAGTCCCATATTCTGGGCGTCTGTTCTTCCTTCGGGCCCTGGGCAGAGGGGGAACTGGGGCTTGCCCAGTTGGTAAAAGCCACTCCCACCTTTCCTCCTGTCCTTGGCAGGTCGGGCGCTGGGCTCTCCTCGAGGGCCGTGGTGCTGGCACGGGTGCGGGCCCTGGGCTGGCAGGGGCCGCTGCTGGCGCTGTCGTTCCTGGCATTCTGGGTGCCCTGGGCACCAGCTGGCCTGCAGTTCTTGCTGTGCCTCTGCCTCTATGATGGCTTCCTGACGCTCGTGGACCTGCACCATCATGCCTTGCTGGCTGACCTGGCCCTCTCTGCCCACGACCGTACCCACCTCAACTTCTACTGCTCCCTCTTCAGTGCGGCTGGCTCCCTCTCTGTCTTTGCCTCCTATGCCTTCTGGAACAAGGAAGACTTCTCTTCCTTCCGCGCCTTCTGTGTGGCCCTGGCCACCGGCTCTGGGCTGGGCTTTATGGGGGCTGCACGGCTGCTTGGGCGGCAGGTTGAGGCGGCTGGCAGGGAGCCTGAGTGCCCAGCCCTGGCTGTGAATGGCGGGTGAGTGGCCTGGCCCAGCTCTCCGGGTTTCCCCCAGCATGGAGTCCCCTGGCCGATGGGCGGCTGCCCTGGGGTGGTGGATGGCTCTGGCCCAGCCCTAGGCCATCGGTGACTCCCCTCTGCCCTGTAGCCTGTGCGGAGAGGAGCTGCTTACCGGCTGCCAGGACGCAGGTAGCATCACTTTGAGCCAGTACCTCCAGCAGCTCGCACGCCACCGGAACTTCCTGTGGTTCGTGGGCATGGACCTGGTGCAGGTATGGGAGCAGCACCCCCGCCCCCGATGGCCAGGATGTGCCTCACTCAGGGGAACAGGCTCCTTAAAAGCTGGGCCTCGTGTGAGCACTGCTGGGTGATTTGCTAGCGGGAACACAGGTCGGGTAGTTGGGAGAGCTGGATTCTAGCACCATCAGAACTCCTCACTCCCTGTGTGATCTTAGGCAGGTCTCTCGGGGCAGCTGTGTCTTCACCTGCAAAGGGAGGCTATGAAAAAGAGGTGCCCTTTGGGAACTTTGTGACAATCTTTTTAAAACACTAAATGCCGTGCCTAAAACACATGTAGTATGTGAGCTCGCCAAGTTCAGAAATAGATGGTGTTTATATCATCAAGCTTGTTTTACTAGTGTTTTCAATTAAAGAGAGGAACACTTAATCATTCAATTTGACGATTTTATCCTTCCTTCTACCTTTTAGCAAAATTAGATAAGCAACAGGAATTTGGTGTTGGGTGTTATTGTGGCATGTTCCGTGTGGAGGGACGTGGGGTTAAAGTCTGCTCTTGCTCCCGCCGCTCCCCGGTTGGCTTCCGGCCTGCTCCCAGCTACCCTCCAGCCCAGCAGCCTCCTCATTGCCCCTGTTGGGTTGCAGGTCTTTCACTGCCACTTCAACAGCAACTTCTTCCCCCTCTTCCTGGAGCATCTGTTGTCAGACCACATCTCCCTCTCCACGGGCTCCTTCCTGCTGGGTGAGTGGGTGCCGCAGGCAGCCGCCCAGCTGCAGGCACAGCTCCCTCCCCAGCTGGGCCCTGTTGCGGGGGTGGGGGTGGGGGGGTTACGCTGCTTCGGGCTTGCCCCTCCAGCCTCGGCTGTGCTGTGGGAGGAAGGGGTGGGAGCCCATTGCGCTGTGAGGAGGGTAGGACTGCTCTCCTGGTGGTCTCCATGATGGTGCCCCCAGAGGTGAGGCGGCACAGTGGCCGGTTCACAGCAGGGCTGACGGGGCTGTCGGGCTTGGCTGTGCGTATTGATTCTTATTCACTGTGTGGCCTTGGCTGTGTTTTCTTTAATCTCTTTGGGCCTCCGTTTATCACCGGAAAGGTAGGGACAATAACAGGACTGATCCTAAAGGGTGGTGAGGATGAAATGACAGGATGTGAAGCTTGTAGCACAGAGCCTGGCACGTCGTGAGTGTGCAATCCCTGTCACGCCGTTTGTTGGTGTGGAGAGCTGTGGAAGCCGTGGCAGTGCCCCCTCACAAGGCTGCCCCCTTCTGTCCAGGCATCTCCTATGTGGCCCCCCACCTCAACAACCTCTACTTCCTGCCCTTGTGCCGGCGCTGGGGCGTCTACGCCGTGGTGCGGGGGCTCTTCCTGCTCAAGCTGGGCCTGAGCCTGCTCATGCTGTTGGCCGGCCCCGACCGCCCTGGCCTCCTCTGCCTCTTCATTGCCAGGTATGCGCTGCCCTCCCTCACCCCCGCACCTCTGCTCCACCCCTTCACTCTTGCCCCCTCTCTCTTCGCTGGCAGCAACCGTGTCTTCACGGAGGGCACCTGTAAGCTGTTGACTTTGGTGGTGACTGACCTGGTGGACGAGGACCTGGTGCTGAACCACCGCAAGCAGGCGGCCTCGGCTCTTCTCTTTGGCATGGTGGCCCTGGTGACCAAGCCAGGCCAGACCTTCGCCCCGCTGCTGGGCACCTGGCTGCTGTGCTTCTACACAGGTGAGGACCCGGGGGCTGGCACCGGGTGCCTGAGGCTCCGGGGGTCAAAGCTACAAGCTGGGTCCAGTAAGGGGGAGAGAATGGCAACTGGCCAGCAGAGGCTGTTCCTGGGCCCCACCTCCTCTGCCTCTCCCCACGTGGGCGGAGGAACTGAGTCTCCAAGTCTTCTCGTCTTTCAGTGGTTCGTTCGTTCATTCATTCATTCATTCATTCAACAAACGTGTATAGAATACTTTCATTGCCAGGAGCTGCTCCAGGTCCCTTTAGGGAGGTAACAATGGTTTTGCCATTGTGGAACTTATATTCTAGTTAGAGGGATGGGTGGGGTTGGCAATAAAGAGCCGAACAAGAAAATAGCAATGGTAGTGGGAAGAGCGATGGTAAAATAGGCAGTGTGACTGAGAAGCTACTTAGTGTGTGTGGTCCAGGAAGGCCTCTCTGAGGAGATGACACCCAGGATGTGGACTGGATGGCAAGAATCTGGTCTAGAAAGATCTCAGTGAATCCCAGACAGGATGGGGGGTGGGGCAAGTACAGAGCCCCAAGGTATCAGGAGTGGCTAGGAGATGAGGCTGGGGCAGCAGAGGGCTCTGTCCATTAGGGCAGGGTTTGGATTTTATTCTCAGTGTGGAGAGAAACTATTGCAAGGGTTTTAAGCAGGGCAGTGACATGATCTGATCTGGTTTTTTCAGTTCACCCTGACTGCTGTATGGAGAATGGGCTGTGGGGAGGCTGTGGCAGAAGCCATGGAAGCTTGAGCAGGTGGAGCCAGGGGGACTGGAAGAAAGTGTCTGGGTGTGGCATGTGTTCTGGAATTCAGGGGAGGGGAAGGACTGGCTGCTGGGGAGTGGTGAGGTTAACCGAAGAATCCAGGAAGACTTTGAGTCTATGGTGTGGATAGTGGTGCCAGTCACCCAGAAGGGAAGCACAGGGGAGAAGCAAGTTTGGAGAAGGAAGTGAGTTGTGGTTTAGAAATGAATGCGTGTCGTTTGAGATGTGGCACTGCGGACCTTGGAGGAGACCGGGGCTGACCCTCTTCTTTCTGCATGCTCTCTCACCCTAGGTCATGATCTCTTCCAGCAGCCCCCACTGACCCCTGTGGGGAGTGCCCAGCCCTGGCCAGAGCCCCCGGCCCCAGCCCCAGCCCAGGCCCCAACACTCCGCCAGGGCTGCTTCTACCTGCTGGTGCTGGTGCCCATCACCTGTGCTCTGCTGCAGCTGTTCACTTGGTCCCAGTTCACACTGCACGGGAGACGCTTGCACATGGTCAAAGCCCAGCGCCAGAACCTATCACGGGCCCAAACCCTGGATGTTAAGATGGTGTGAGAGGCAGGTACAGCAAGGCCACCCTGCTGAGGACACTGTCGCAGCCCTGGGCAGGAGCCACTTTTGCCAGCCCCTCATCCTGCTCCTCTGCCTCCCTGGGGCACAGCCTGGAGGACAGATGGCAGAGTGTGAGCTTCTGGGGCTGAGCCAGGAGCATCACTGAGGTCTAAGTTCCGGCTTGGCTGTCTGGCCCAGCTTGGGCAAGGGCTGGGCTGTATGTGCTCAGGGATCTGCTTCCCCACCATGGGGCAGGAGGAAGAGGACCAAGAAGGGGTGGGGCTGCCCTGTGATCACATGGGGTTGCGGCAGGGCATGAAGGCCTGTCCCACCACCTGGTTGGGGCTGGTGCTGTGTGTGGGCTCAGAAGCCACTTTCACCCACTCAGGGGAAGCTGTGAGTCCCACCGCCCCCTCCCTCCACATTTCCAGTGGTTTCTCTGACCTCTCTGCTTCAGTTGTGCCTAAAGTATTGTGCCCCAGCTGCTGCAGGGCTCCCCCACCCCCACCTGACCTCTCAAAGAGGTTCATGTCATCACAGACTGATTAAAGTCAGTTATTTCTGTTCCCGTTCCTGAGGTCTGTGCTATGTGTAGAAGTGGTGGGTTGGCGGGGTTGGGGAACAGGATTCCTCACTTAATAGGAAAAGCACCCTGAGAACGTTTTTCTGCAGATGAACTGGTGGGGGTGGGGGTCACCCTCATCAGAGTCACTAAGGTAGCAGGGAGGGCGTGCAGACCAGTGGCTGACTGCATGGGCATTTGTGAGCAAAATGACTTGCAGGCCTGTGGTCATGTCCTGGTGCATTTCCCATACACCACTGCCAGACATGGTGAGCGAGGAAAAGCAGCCACTTCCAAGAGGTCTTCAACCCTGGAGTCACTGGGAGCTTTCAAAAATGCTGATTATCTTGAATTCTCTTCCCCAAGATTATGCTGTCATGGGTTCTAGGCTATGGCCTGCGCATGGAGGTTTTGGGAAGCTCTGTGATTTTACTGTGCAGCTGGGACAGAACACCTGTGCTCTCGGCCGGCATTTCTCAACCTGGAGACATTCGGAGCCGGATAGTCCGTTGTTGCGAATATTTAAAGCAGCATCCCTGGCCTCTGCCTAGATGACAGTAGCATTTCCCTACAGTTGTGACAACCAAATGTCCCCAGACATTGCCAGATGCGTCCCACTTGATTGGGACCTACTGCTCAAGGCCAGTGGTTTTTGAGGGTCTGTGTAGTGGCTAAAAATTCAGGCTCTAAGGCTATATCGCCTGGGTTCAAATCCTAATAAAGGGCAGAGCTTTGGGAAATTACACTTTTCTCTGGCTCCAATTCATCTGCAAAGTGGATAATAAAAATACTTTGCAGGGTTGTTGGATCAAATAGGTTAACATTTGCAAAGTGCCTGGAAACCCCCCCCCCCAAGTATACAGGTTTAAAATGGAGAACTGATTTTAGTTAGAATATCTGAATGTGGGCCCCAGGAACTACATTTTAAGCTCCTAAGCTTCTTATCCACATGAAGTTTTGACTTCAGGGATGTCAAGAGGTGCTCCCCTCATTGGAGGTAGTTTCAGTCATAGGTTTTAGCGTATGTGCAGGGCTGGGACCTTCAGTTCCTGAAGTGGGGCTTTGGCATGGACACCCATCTTCTCTGTATCCACTTGACAGGCTGGGACCTGGGCAAAGGGCTGGCTAAGTCTGGCTGGTACAAGAGTGCCCTCTAGAGGACAGACAAGGCCCAATCACCGCCTCAGATTCAGGGACCGCAGCAACTCTCTTCCCACCCAGCACCAGAGAAAGAGGCCCAGCTGATGCATCTATTGGAACGACTTTATTTAAGTACACTGGGCCCCACCAGGCAACGTGGTTTGTGCAAGGGACAGGCTTGGGCTAGGAGAAGGGAGGTGAGCTGGTTAAGCACACTGCAGTCCGTGGGTCGCCACATCGCTTTCACACACACCTGCTGCTGTGGCCCATACCTGGCAGGGCCTTTGGTCGTTGGACGGCATGGGGGAGAATGCTGCCTGGAATCTGGGATTGGGGCGGGTCTTGGTGTCACGGGTGAGGGTGCCGGTGAAGATCCGCGAGCCCCAGCTTTGCACCATCTGGGTTAAAGAGCCTTTGGACACTGCAAGGCCAGCCCAGTCCAGGGTAGGGACCTGGCCCTTCTGGATCAGGGGAGATGAGCCTGTCAGCTCCTGGCACTCTGGTCTGGCCCCCTCCCTCCTTTACCAGACAAGTCCAAAGTTAAGAATGGCACAAATCAGCCCAGTTGGGGCCTTGTCACCTCTACAACCTAGCCCCCCTGGGGCAGCTGGAGTGGGAAAAGGCAACCTGGTTAATGGTGGCTCTTTCTCCAGTCCTAAGGGCGCTGGATCCCCTATACCCCTCCTTTGCTGGAGGCCTCTGCCAAAGAGTGATTCTATCTCCTGTTTCAAAAAATCCAACTGGCAACCAGCCTGTTGATTCCAGGGCAGTGAGCAAATGAAAGAGGAAGAAAGAAAGAGGCTGGTGGTAGTGACTTTGAATGTAGCCTCTGATCCTAAATAGGCCTGAGGCCTGTGGATACTGTTAGTTCACTATTAGCAGGGAGTGGCGGGGCCCTGGACGCTATGCTAAACTGAGGTGCTGTAAACATTAGTGTGAACAGGGTGACTGGTGGGCAGGAGGCTATGGGCTCCCTTTCCAGTCCCATACTGAACAAACACGTCAATAAATAAAACTGTTTGAAGATGGCATTACCCAAGGATGGATGAAAAGCAAGTAACAGGGCCTGGGGCCAACAGGCTCCTGAAACTCTCCCGAGACGCCCTGGACAGGGGCTGGGGGTTGGAGCATTCACTCTGCCACCAATCAGAAGTATAGCACTACTCCTGCCTCTTCAAATGCCCAGTGTGGTCCTGGTCCCCCGGTGAGGTTGAGGGCCCCCTGCTGTCTCCTGACCTAAAGTCTCAGTATTAGCTCCTGGAGTGCTTTCCCAGCCTCCCAAACCCAAATTGCAACAAAACCAGACAGAACTCAACTTCGGCCCCAGTCCTCAGTCCATGATCAACTGGCATCGAGAGCAGAAGGACGAGCAAGGGAGGCAGTGGGCCTCAGGGCACCCTGGGGGTGGGACGGGGCCTAGGGTGGGCAGCAGCAAGGTCTCCCGGGATTTACCCTCTCTGTCTCCCTATGGTAGTAAACATAGTCCCACACAGCCAGACAAAAGCCCAGCTGACGAAGGAGTGGAGTTCTCTGCCAGCACTCTTCTCTGTCAGGGGCCAGTTAGTGGTCAACCCTAGGCCTCAGGCCGTTGCCATCATGGGTAGTTCATCGTCCTTTCTGGGCCCTGGGATCCCTGGGCCACACGGCTCTCACAAATGCGCACACATTCGTACACACACACACACGCACGCACGCACGCAGTTCCTTGCAAACACTCCGACTCAAGAAAGCGAGTTTTAAAGTGGAGTTAACTTCAGAGAGAGGTGAAGATGATGTCCCAACATTAGAAGGTTTTCCTGTGGATAGATCGGGCACCGTCTTCCTCATATTCCTTCTTGGAAACCCACATCTTCTTAAAGGTGTCCAGGGAGGCGAGGATGGAGCCCCTGGAGTGGAGGGAATCCCAAGGAACGTTGTGAGAGGGAGAAAGCAGGTATTCGTGTCCCCGTGGGGCCAAAGCAGACAAGGCTTTGCTTTAAAGAGATGGGGTGGTGAGGGGTAACGATGCCCTCACTTCCTGTTCCGCTCTTACTCCCAGGAGAACTACTCACCCAATCCACGTGGAATACAGCCTCTCCTGAGGTGCGGATATCTGAAAGGGTGGGTGGGAAGAGGACTCTGAGACTTTCACCCTCCTTGTCCCTTTCCCGGCCAACGCTCATCTTTACGGCCAATTCCAATGCCCAAGGCAGTGGATGCATTTCACGCAGTGTCCCTGCTGGACCCCGTGGCCTCTCTGGGGGGTACTGTGGCCAGCCTGACACTCATCTGGAGGAGAGTTCCAGCAGCCCTAAGTATCTACAGCTGTCAGGGAAGCTGGAGCTGTCAGGGGACAAGATTCAGCTCTTGGAGGCCAACAGGAAGAAGACTCTGTGGCAAGAATCACACTCCTTCACTTAGCTCCCCTCGGCGAGCACTAAGATGTTGGACTGTGTCACAAGGGAGCACCAGGAGTCAATCTGTCAACGTGACGGTTTCTCTGAAAGACCTCACGTGGGGCCCTCAGCCTAGCAGCCTGCCCCATCAGGGTATCAGAACTGCCCCCTTTTGTTGGGAGGGAGAAGGAAAATGGGTTCTCCCCTCTGGCAGACCTCAAGGTCAGTGTGGGAGCTGGGAGCTGTCTAGCCTCAGAGGGGAGGCCCAGTTCCATGCAGCCCCAGCCCTGCCCCCACCACGCTCCTACCCTGATCTTCACGTCTTTTGGAGCCAGTTTCTTCACTTCACTCAGTAGCCTGTCACCGAAGCCTGAATGGGCAGGAAAGGAGAATCTCAAGTCAATCCTCTGGGCATCTGGGCCCAGCCAGATCTGGACACTTCCTTGGCAATGGGTCCTGAGAGCAAAGACCAACCTTTGAACAGGGTGGAGCCTCCTGAGAGGACAATGTTCGAGAAAAGCGTGCGCCGCAGGTCCATGTCTGACTTCTGGATGGCAAACACCAGCACCTCATGGATGCCCTCACTCTCCTCTCCGATCAGGTCTGGCCTGAACAGCAACTCAGGTGCCCGGAATCGGGAAGGACCAATCTGCAGGGTGGAGGGCAAACTCAGAGGCTGGTCCCAGGGCTGAGGTCCCTTTGGGAGTGAGAATGGAAGAGGCCCCTCTGCCCATCTGTTAGTGACCAGGTGGCTAGGAAGGCCAGGCTCAGGGAACACCTGGTATGTCAAGGGCCTCAAAACACCAAGACAAGGCTCTTGGGAACAATCAGGAAAGAAAAAGGGACAAAGAGAGCTCTCGGGAAATTAGAGGAAGCTCTTATGTTTATTCCTAGCTCTGGCACTTTCCAGCCGAGAGACCTTTGGCATTAATACGTGGGTTTATTCATTCATGGAAATTTCTTCCTATTAATGCAGGTCCAGGAAGAGGCAGCTCACCCTATACTGTGCCCAAGTGATTACAAACAGCACTAACCACCCTCTTCCAAACCCCATCCTGACCTCTGGTGCCTCCTCTCCTCCACACAGGAGAATCAAAGTCCCTGATGCCTCGCTCTGCAGGAGACGATGCTGTTCGAGAGCTCCAGGG